ACTGCAGGTTCTTCAAATTCAAGTTCTTCCAAAGTATTTGAACTCAGTTTTCTCCCATTTCTGTATGAATATGAGGTGCAGCTCATGTTAGGAAGTGACATTGTAAGTGCTGGATATAAATTATAATACAATGCTGCTCCCTTCTGTATGCATGCGTTATAAAATGCAACATGCCAAAATGTTGGAAATTATCATTAGAAAAAATTAAATATGCATTGTTGGCAATCACTAGAAGTTATTTTGGGGAGAAAAAAGGACAGTAATCCTTCTAATGGACACACATAAAAAAAATTAACATTTTTTTCCAATATTTTTTTTAAAGCAGTCCTCCTTCTGCTTGAAGGAGAACAGTTTGATTCACCTGCTGGCTCTCCACCACTCGTTTGTTTTATGTCTTTCTCTCGCTCTGAAAACCTGGACCCGTTTCTGCAGAGCAGCACTTACCTGAGTCAATAACACTTTGTAGTTTCAGGTTTGTGTAATAAAGATTTCATTCCCGTTTTTATGATGAATAAAAACCCAAACAACTTGAGGAACACAAACAGGGGAAATGAAATTGAGGCAGCAAATCTTTCGCAGTGAACCCTGACTAAAGGCAACTCAGATCAGCAAAATGATTTGGGGGAATTTAATTTAAGTTATAGTTTTGCATCTGCCGTATGTAAACTAATACTTGTACATATTGGATGTCACAGTCTATGCTAAGATGGTGATGCAGGGGTTAGCACTGTCACCTCACAGTGAGAAGGTCTTTCAGATCCACTGGTTGGCTGTGGAGCATGCATGGGCTCTCTCTGGGTTCTCCTGATTCCTTGCAGTCCAAGGAAATAGAGTTAGATTAATATGTGACTCTCTATTGGTGGGAATGATTGTCTCTTTGTGCTAGGTTGGCAATGCACTGGCCACCTGTAGGCTGTGAACCACTTTTTGCCCTGTGACAGCTGGGAGAGTCTCCCCTGCACCTCTGAATAAAATGAATGGATGTCTGCATTAGAACAAGGTTAAACTGCATCATCCGTATTAAATCAAACTTTAAATTATAAATAAATTAAATAAATTATTAAAGAATTTATTTATTTATTATTATTATAAATAAATAAATAAATAAATAAATAAATAAATAAATAAATAAATAAATAATAAATAAATTATTTACTACTTATAAAGTTTACAATACAATACATTTGAGTTTGTAAATCAAAGGCAAACTCAACAAGAGTGGCACATTTAGAGTTTTCTGTTGTTCGAGGAGCCTGATGGCTTTTGTCAAACTGAAAGATTCCTCACGCTGAGATGAGTGTGCATGGCCTCAGGTGATTTATTGTCTTCATGCCTCTGAAATTACAGCTGAAAACAACATTTGATGCATCTGACAGCTGAGCAATGAATGGAAAGAAGCAAAGACACAGCAAAGGTTCAGGTTTAAGGTCAAAAGCTCAGTTTCAAATGCACAAATAAATCAAATTATTTTTTAAAAAAAAGGTAAAGAAAAAATAAAAGATAAGTGCTGTAAAAACGAATACATCAGTTATCTGTTAATTCCCATAATGTGGCATTTAGATCACTGTTTTACATCTTTATTTGACTGGAAACAGTCAAATATAGCCTAGTCTAATGCGAAAAACTCAGAAGTTTTGATCATGATGAAATCTCCACAAGACACTGTCACTGACACTGACATTACTCCACCCAGGCATGATCATCACCTCCAAGGCAATAAAACCCCGATAATGCAGGAGCTTATTGTGATCTAGGAAGTAGGTTGGAAGATGCAAACAAGAAGAAATATGCAAAGTAGCCAGAGCTGATGAAGAAATAGCCGGCTGGAAGAGTTTGAGTGAGCCGATAGAGGGTTGGCTGCAGAGGTTTTGCAGGACGGTCACTCTAAGTCCTTAAGCAACTGGGAATTACAGGAATGCCCAGAAGGTCTGTGAAGCCACTGAAAAAGCCACTAGGACACAACTCAGGGCTTTGGTTGGCTGACCTGGGCCATGGTGTCTGATGTCAAAAGACCCGGAACACCGCATGAAGATGTGTCCCAGAGAGAGGATATAAAATGTTTTATGAGAAGCATCTGAGTGCTTATAGCTGGTCAACAGCTGAACAGGAGCAACTTTAAATACATTTTCTTAATTTGGTACCTGTTTAGGGACTTTTAACTTCGAAAGCCATACTGATTAAATGAAAATGCAGGACTGTCAGAGTAATAAATTTCTCTTTTCTGCTGTTGTGTTTTGGTTCATGATTTCATTGTTTCTGTCACAACGGGACTGAACGGACTCACATGCAGGCTCTAGGTCTTGAAAGCACAAGAGTCTTTATTACGATACACCAGGTGATTATTTACAAAAGTGAGGGGAAAGCCGGGCTCCGCCGAAAGTCACACACACACTCTATCCACTCCTCACGCTCCTCTTCACACTCCAATCACTTAGGTAACACAGGGGTTGGTCCAGGGAATCTGTACACAGAGACACAAAGGGATTATAAGGCAAATCGCTGTGAAAACACTCTAGAAGTAACTGAGCTGGGGTTACACTGACAAGGGTCGGCAACAGTCCAGCGACGAGAAACACAGAGCTGCCATCTTATAAAGGAGCTGGAACACTCGTGATGAGCCACAGGTGCGTGATTGCGACCAGGTGCGTGGGCCAAGGGCAGGAGCCCACAGGTGAGCTCCGCCCAGGCAGAGGGAGGAGGGAAAGAGGGGAAGGGAGAGAGCAGGAACAAAAAAGAATATAAAAACATATGTAGCCATACTGAGCCGACCGGGTAGGCACAGGGACCCTGACAGTTACAGTATGCTGAGTTTTAGTTTTATTGTTTGGTTTTCTATCTGGTGATTCCACAGCTGAGTGGTTCTCACATTCAAGTACAAAAAGGCCCTGGTTTGCACCTGGGAGGAAACACAAGCAGACACACTCTTAGTGAAGGTGCCAAAACTGGATTTTCCAGTTTAAATATGTGCATTGTCCATTGTGGTGTCCCCTTGGGGGGAAGAGGCAGCAAGTGACAACCTCTACCTCATTTCTAGTTCCTCTATACTTTAACTACTCCCAGAGTCTATATAATTTATCATTCTAGAGGTCTTAAATATTTGGTGTTTATTTAGCTTCAGTTTCTACTTTAAGTTAATTTCTTGTGTGTTCAGTTCCCCCAGAGTTTATCCAATTGTTTTTAATGTCAAGCTTCTGTTTTATATGTTTCTCCTCCAGTGTTCGTTGTCTCACATTAATGTGCATCATAAGCAATATTAAAGACTTGAGCAAGAGGACACCTATGTTAGTCTTTAACAAAAGCAAAACGACACTGGTGCATAGTTCACCAGTGTCATGCTGCTCCTTCTCTTCCTTTTCTGCACCTCTTCTCAGGTTTGGATGGGACTGTAGTCTTATCCTGCCCTTGGGTGGGGGTTGCTTCTGCCACTTGTTCCAGCCAGCACACCTGGAAGCTATCTTATTTATTCTCTGGGATTCAAAAGGCCAAATAAAACCTTCACTTAGAAGTCCCACTGAACCTTAGCCCTTCTCTTCTCAACCATCTTCCTGACTTTTATTCCAGTACAGTGTACTAACGTTGTCTACAGATTGCTGCAAGGTGTGGTCTCAGCATCACTATCACACATTCTGCAGTTTGGATCCTGCAGCTGTGGATGTGATGTTCAACGCCTGTGCTGTCCTTACAAACACTAACAGGAGTTCTTGAAAATAGTCACGTCCCTAATCTTGTGTCTGTTGTAGGGCCTTTCTCGATCATATGTCTTCATTTTCCTTAATACTGTTTTTTTGTTCTGCTGATTAAAACACTTTTGAAGCTTCTTAAAGAAACACCATGTTGCTGTAGTTGCATGCCTCCTCTCTCTATTGAATTTTCATAGCATTGCAGACTAAGTTTGCAGAGACTGCCTCATGCTACAAGCATGCAGCTACC